ACATTGATAAGTCCATTTCAATTTAAGAGGGCTGTGGAATGTCAATTGGAGGATCATTAGGAGTAGTCTAAGTAGATACCATTTAGTATAAGGAAAGCATTACAAATATAGATTGTTGAGTTTCTACTGGCAAAGTTTAAATGAAAGATTCCCAAATGTTGAAGACATTTTTAACCCTTAATTCCTTATGCAAGGAGGCCTCCACCCATTCCATGCAAAAAGTGTAGGGCAATTAGCTATGGATAAAGAGATACAGTAGTAGGGGGTTCTGGGTAGATCCACTTATGTAAAATATTTTTTGTGTCACAAGGAATATGATAGCAAGGAGTTGCTTGCAGTGCCTTGAGATTTTAGTGCCCAAGAAATTGATCTATTTTTTTTATTGACCCTGGTATCAAGTAGATATAGGAGAGCTACTTCTTGTGTTTCCAACCATGTTTTACACATACTTAGGTGACCTAGCTGAAATATAGATTTCAAACATGGTCTGATCCTGGAGCAGAATCACTACAAGTGGAGATACATACTGCTTGGCTCTCAGCATCTCAAGCATTGGTCTGAAATTGATGGAATCTTATATAACATAACCAGGCTTCTATAACATCTGGTCAGAAATTTGTAATTTTTTTCTTGAGCTTGTGAGGTTTATGGTTAGTTTGAAGTCAAAGAGAAAAGCTTTATCACAGTCCCCTGAGGGAAAAGCATGTCCCAGTTCGCACTCCCAGTCTCGAACATAGTGGGGTGGTTGGGGAAAGCGCTCGATAGAAGATTTCCATATAGTTTGAAATGGCATCAGGGGACTCTGTGTCAGAAAGGCATAATCCTCAAACAGGCTAAGGTCCCTGTAAAGCGGTCCTGTTGTTTTGTGCTTTTCATAGAAGTGTCCAAGTTTAAAAAAGTGCAGCTACTGTCCATGTTGTGGTGAGGAAGGGGTTGTGATGTATTTCAGAGTTTTAGTTCCATTAGGGCCAATCGCTTGTTAGATGGGAGATGGATTTGAGTCCTGACATTGTAGAAAGCATTTGCAATGAATCCCTGGTGGGAACTTTGAGTTTCCCATGATCGGGGGTCAAAGGACCAGAATAGGAGGAGATGTTATATTTTCTGGCTGTGGAATCCCAAATATGAAGGACTGAGGTTATCAGGGATAGTAGTTTTGACAGAGGAGGGTGGTTGGGTGGGTCAACAGAAGTGACCATAACAGTCCCTTTCTAGTCCACCCCATTGTCTGGATTGGTCGGGATTGAATAATTCTAAGATTATACACAGTATTGCTATGGTTTATTAATGTTTAAGATGAGGCAAGCCTGCCCCACCCAACTCTACACTTGACCAAAATGTTGTAGCATAATTGAGCCGGAGAGCAAGGCGAGAGGTATTGGAGTAATATGAAACATGCAGAGCAGAAGAAGAGAAACGTGGCACCTCAATCTATAGTTTGAAAGATATAGAGCAACTTGGGGAGGATGTCCATCTTCAACAGTAACAAATTGTTAATGGGATTTCCAATTGTCTGCATATAAGGGATTTTCATTTGTTTGCACCTATGAGACTACTGGAACTTATTGTGTTTTAGAAACTGAAAAAAAAAAGAACTAATTTTAAAATGTACTACAAAAGGCAATTGCTATCCAGCTTCCTGACTGGAAGGATGAGCCAGACAGCCAAAATAATGAAGTGGAAGCAGAACAAAAAAGAGTGTGGAGAGGCCAAGGATAAAAAAAAAAAACAGTGGGACAGCAAGAGTTCTGGTAGTCAGGCGCTAGATATGGGGAGCCAAGCTAGAAAGAGACAGAAGATGCCTGAAAATTATGTAATTGACTTGATAATGCAATCCTTAATCCTCATGAGGACTGCAGGGAATGGTTTTTGGAAACCTATCTGCCTTTTAGAGATAGCATTTAGATTGATGCCAACACAGTAATTTTTGGACATGGACCCTAGTACACTACAGCTACAGTATATCTGGATTGATCTATGAAAATATTGATCATATAGACTCAAATTTAACTACAATATAGACTGAAATGTACCTTTACATGAAATATTTTTCTAAGGTATTGGGTTCAGAGCCTTCTTTTTATTTTACTTAATCAGAAATCATCAAGCAAAATAACTTATAGATCTTCCACCCAATTAATATGTTGTGTACACCTACTATGATCACATGATCTCTACTGTCAGACGTAATAGCAGTGTCATAATTATATGACTTGTGACAATATGACCTCATGAATGGTAACTTTAGTTTTTCAGTCACCAAAATAGTAACAAAGAAGAAAAAGGAATATGAATGAAATATCTTCACTGTAAGTGAAGGTAATAACATTGCAGAGATAATGGAATATATGGTGTGGAATTTGAGCAGGATAGCAAAGAGGCCATTTCCATCTTACTAACATGGTCAAAGATGTGAAAAACAGAGGAATGAATGTCTGAAAAAAAGGAACTCTGGAAATGACTGATGGAATTTCTTTGTTGCTTATGTTCTACAAAATGTAGACTCATGTACAAAGTCCTGGGGTGTGATATAAGCCACTGGAGCGCTTGGAGATGGTCAAAGCAAAATGAAAACCAGAAAACAGCTGACGTAGATTATATTGGCCTTTGTTGATGACAAATCTGAAATGTTGTTTACTTGGACCTTGAAGGAACAAAATTAAAACATGAAAGGATATATGTTTAGTTACTAAATCTGGAAGAGAATTATATTTCCTTGCTCTCCAGAGCAACTTAGAAAAGCAGGTAAAAACATAAGCAGTTGCAAGGAGCATAATAAAATGGCTTACCAAGAAGGCCAAGGAAAAATGTGTTCCCTTAATATTACAGCCAGTTGTGGGTCCTCTACATCACTAAGTAACCTCATACAAGGGAAATGCCAGTTTTAAACTACAGAGAGTTCAACTTTGCTGCAGGAGAACCCAAGAATTTCGGTTCCCAAGACAGTCTTGCTAAGAGAAAGCTGACATTCACATTATGGCCATTACAGTAAGAAATAGTCCAAGATCTGAAGTTGGCAGTAAGGCATCTGGAGTCAGGGAAAAGTTAAGACTGACTGAGGGCAGGCTGAAAAAATTAGGACCAAGCTAGTTAATGGAAAAGCAGGAAACAATCTTCTCTGAACTTTAAATAATCTAAATAATAACAACTACAACAATAGTGTTATTATACTGCTTTTCTCCCCTGTGACTGAAAGCACTTTACAAAAACATAAAATTAAAAAAAAAATAAATAAATAAAAACATTGAAAAAGGTAATGGATTAAAGTGGTATTAAACCCAAAAATGTATTATATTGCAGCTTATCAATTCCTACACTTGGTGGCTGTATTTCCTTTTTCTATGCTTTTCTTTTACTGGTTGAACCAGCCAATAAGTCTGTTAATTTTTAAGTTCATTTAACAGATCAAGCTGTCCAGCAAAAGTGTCAGCACCTAGGGGTGCCTACAAGTGTCAGCTTTATTCATTTCTATAAAACCTTTATCCCAAGAGGACAAAACCTGTTGCTCTAACTGCCTAAAAGTGTTAGCAGTAGTTCAGGTTTAATTTTTTAGTGAAGTCTATCTAAATCTACTAGTGCACCTAACACTTCCCCTTCCCCAGATTGGCAATGCTGCCTTGCACAGGTCCTTTGCATCTGCATCCACAGTGGAGACACCCCAAGACCCTGTTTACACTTGAGCATTTGCAATCTCAGGGAGAATCGCCATGATTCTGCCCACAATCCCAAAATGCTTTGAACAAATGACAGATCGCAGCATGCCTGTTCTGATGCTATTCATTTACAATGGCACCAAACCGCGGTGCGGTTCTGCTGTGATGCAATAAACTGCACTGCAATCATGGTAAACCGCATCATGTAAAGCCTGTCACTGAAGAAGGAGCAGAAGCTCAGGACAATGAGGTTTGCTGCAAATTCAGCTCAGTTTATCCTAGGGACTAAGGCCAGAGCTCGACAAATCCCAGGCTCCAAGTCACCATGATGACCAGGAACCATGTCCTGGCATCTGGGCTTCCACCAGTTCACTCCCCGCCAGCACCAGGCACAAACAACTCCCATTGCCCCACCAATCAGAGCATGGTGCTGGCGGTGGGTGTTCCCGGGGCTTAGCCATTATCATGTTTGAGCTGCAGACACATACAGAGGATGCTCAGTTGCTGGAGCGATGACAGAAGAGTAGACGCAGTCCAGACAGGGGACAGAGCAGAGAACACAGCCCTCACAGCAGACGTAGAGAAGTGCTAGCTCCTGGGCCCTGGAAAGGGGGATGGAGGTGTCAGGGCTCCAGGGTATGACCAGAGGTATGTGACTGACGCAGGGAAACGCAGACTTCAGATATGTTATAAACAATATAATTTATTAAAGACTAACAATACAAACAAACGCAGTGCATCAAACCCCAAGCTAACACAAATACATACAAGGTGAAACAAACCCAAACCTAAACTGATACAGATACACAGGTACATACACATATAGAGCACAACGTGATCAGGCAGGCCGGGTCGATAACTATCGGGCAGGTAGGTACAGGAGGAGCAGGCGGAGAGAATGGGTCAGGGTCACAAGCCAGGGATCAGAACAGGAGAAGTCAGCAGAGGTCAGGATCAAGCAGGGTCAGCAACAAGACAGGAACAGGAACGCAGGTTTACAAGATACAGGGCCCAGGAAAAACACACACACCAAGGCAAAGACTGCAGGTCTGGCCATCACTTAAATACACCTGCATAAGCAGTTTCAGGTGTTTGGCTGGCTGCAGGGTTGAGTCTCTGATTGCTGGGAGCACCCGCTGGCCAGCTCTGGTACTGCAGCCCACAAGGCAGGTGAGTCCCACCATTACTGGCAAGTCCATTCCTGACAGTACCCCCCCCTCAAGGAGCGGCCTCAGGACGCTCCAAACAGTCCTAGCTGGGCAAAATGTTCCACCGCCGGGTCTGGTAACTGGCGGGATATCAAAGACTGGCACATCGGGCTGGACTCCGGGCAGCGGCACATCGGGCTGGACTCCGGGCAGCGGCACATCGGGCTGGACTCCGGGCAGCGGCACATCGGGCTGGACTCCGGGCAGCGGCACATCGGATCACCAGGCGAAGCAGCAGGCACATCGGGCCACCAGGGCAGCGGCAGGCATCGGCCCCCAGGCGGGCAGCGGCGGGCGCCGGGCCCCCAGGCGGAGCGGCGGGCGCCGGACCCCCAGGCGGAGCGACAGGCCTCGGGCCCCCAGGCGGAGCGGCGGGCGCCGGACCCCAGGCGGAGCGACAGGCCTCGGGCCCCCAGGCGGAGCGACGGGCGCCGGACCCCCAGGCGGAGCGACAGATCTCGGGCCCCCAGGCGGAGCGGCGGGCGCCGGACCACCAGGCGGAGCGACAGGTCTCGGGCCCCCAGTCGGAGCGGCGGGCGCCGGACCACCAGGCGGAGCGACAGGTCTCGGGCCCCCAGGCGGAGCGGCGGGCGCCGGACCACCAGGCGGAGCGACAGGTCTCGGGCCCCCAGGCGGAGCGGCGGGCGCCGGACCCCCCAGCGGCGGGCGCCGGACCCCCAGCGGAGCGGCGGGCGCCGGACCCCCAGGCGGAGCGGCGGGGCGCCGGACCCCCAGGCGGAGCGACAGGTCTCGGGCCCCCAGGCGGAGCGGCGGGCACCGGACCCCCAGGCACGACAGTGGGCTACGAGTCAACTGGCATGACCGCTGGCACTGGGTCAGACATTGGATTGTCTGGCTGGACAGCGGGCATCGGGTCACCAGGCATCAGGTCATTTGGCACGACAGCGGGCACCGCGTCATCTGGCAAAGCAGTGGGCACCAAGTCACCAGGCATGACAGTGGGCTCTGAGTCAATTGGCACGACAGCGGGCACCGGGTCATCAGGTACCGGATCGTCTGGCTCGACGGTAGGCACCGGGTCATCTGGCGCTGGATCGTCTGGCTCGACAGCGGGCATCGGATCACCAGGCATGACCGCGGGCACTGGGTCATCAGGCATTGGATTGTCTGGCTCGACAGCGGGCATCGGGTCACCAGGTATGGACAGCGGGCACTGGGTCACCAGGCATCAGGTCATTTGGCTCGCCAGCGGGCACCGCGTCATCTGGCAAGGTAGTGGGCACCGAGTCACCAGGCATGACAGTGGCCTCTGAGTCAATTGGCACGACAGCGGGCACCGGGTCATCAGGTACCGGATCGTCTGGCTCGACAGCAGGCACCGGGTCATCTGGCGCTGGATCGTCTGGCTTGACAGCGGGCATCGGGTCACCAGGTATGACAGCGGGCACTGGGTCATCAGGCGTTGGATCGTCTGGCTCGACAGCAGGCATCGGGTCACCAGGCATGACAGCGGGCATCGGGTCATCAGGCCGGATCAGTTCAGCAGGCTGGGTACAGACACAGGCTGGGTACAGACATCAGGCTGGGTACAGACATCAGGCTGAAGTGCGGGTGCCGAGGCACCAGGCTGAACCACGGAAGGCAGGTTCTCAGACGGCAGGCTCACTGGTTTGGATACTGGCAGGATGGTATTTGTTGGAAAGAATTTTCGCTTTTTTCTGGTTTTAACTACTGGAGCACTGCAAGTAAACGCAGGTCTGCAAACAAAGGAGCAGCTGGAGACAGAGAAGAGCTGGAGGATGGAACAGGGGAGGGAACAGTTGCTACAGAGGGCTTCTTTACAGGGTTAAAGGCAGGATAGGTGCAGCGAGTGGGAACAGGGTACTGACATGCGGTAGATAGCAGGGTATACTGGGCTGTAACTGGAGGTGCTGTTGGGAATGCAGGAATAGAGCTTTGAGGAAATAGATTAGAAGCAGGACTGGGTTTTTTGTAAGCTGACTGAGGCTGGGTGCAATAAATCTGTCCATGTCTGCAGTATGGGTTGAACAAAGCTGAGCTTACACAAAGCCTGTCTGACCAAAGACTGCACTGCGTTTATACAATCCCTTAATACCTGTGGTGAACATGCAGCATAATGCTCCAAGAAGCAATCCACATCATCCTCTAATAACCATACCAGGGACTCTACCTGGTCGGCATTAAATGGCGGCAAAAAGTCATTCCTGCTTTCAGGGGCACCAGATGAAGCCAACTCTACACAAACCTGAATCAATGGCTGCACCTCAGAGAATTCTGTGCCCTGATCTACTAGAACATGAGCGATCCGTATACATTCTAGCAGTTCATCCCTGGGATACTCCTTCAGAGTTTGATAAGCATACTCTCTGTCATCAAACACTAGCAGAGATAAATACACAACCTCATCAAGATCCATCCTTCCCAGCAACAAGCCAAGATGGCTTCCCTGTGCAGCCACTTCTGGTCAGGATTGGCCTTGGTGTAATGTCAGGGCTCCAGGGTATGACCAGAGGTATGTGACTGACGCAGGGAAACGCAGACTTCAGATATGTTATAAACAATATAATTTATTAAAGACTAACAATACAAAACATAAACGCAGTGCACCAAACCCCAAGCTAACACAAATACATACAAGGTGAAACAAACCCAAACCTAAACTGATACAGATACACAGGTACATACACATATAGAGCACAATGTGATCAGGCAGGCCGGGTCGATAACTATCAGGCAGGTAGGTACAGGAGGAGCAGGCGGAGAGAATGGTCAGGGTCACAAGTCAGGGATCAGAACAGGAGAAGTCAGCAGAGGTCAGGATCAAGCAGGGTCAGCAACAAGACAGGACAGGAACGCAGGTTTACAAGATACAGGGCCCAGGAAAAAACACACACACACCAAGGCAAAGACTGCAGGTCTGGCCATCACTTAAATACACCTGCATAAGCAGTTTCAGGTGTTTGGCTGGCTGCAGGGTTGAGTCTCTGATTGCTGGGAGCACCCGCTGGCCAGCCCTGGTATTGCAGCCCACAAGGCAGGTGAGTCCCACCATTACTGGCAAGTCCATTCCTGACAGGAGGTCTCTGCCATCAGCTGAGTGCACTGGTTCAGGAATGGGTTGCGGCTGCATGACAACTCAGCTCTGCTGGTCATTCTGCGGGGGGCGCACTATGTGCGCTGCCGCCTCTACATCTTGGACCCCTGATTTGCCACCTCTTCCTTGTACTCTGGAGGGGTGAACCCCTGCAGGTGACAGGGCAGGACATGTGACGGGGGATAGGCAGGGGTAAAAGGCACAAATAGGTTAGTGAGGTAATGGAGAGGGTATTAGTACCTAGTGGGGTGCACTTACTGAGGTCATAGGGGCTAACATGGACCCCTCATTGGAGGATGTGTGAACAGGGGAGGGGCCTTGTTCCTGTGCAAGATCCTGCTGACCAAGAGGAGAGGTCTGGTCCTTATGGGAGGGGCTGCAAGCCAGGGGGAAGGGCCTTGTGCTCTGTGGGCAAAGCTACTTTCAAGAATGACTTGCCCTCACTACTGACCATGGGAGGAGTCTGGTCTTTGTGGGAGCCTCCAACATCCAAAAACAAAAAAAATAAAACTCTAGCTCTGCTGCTTACCTGCAGCAGAGCCAAAAGTTTCTCTCTTCTCTTCCTCTCCACACACCGGCACCCTCATGTACCCTCCGCCCCCCCCCCCCCACAGCAGACCTGCTGCCGCTGTGAGGAAAGGCTCCCCTACACTCACCTCTCCCTTAACACCAGCAAATCCATGCACACAATGGCCAGCCGCCAGTCCCCACATGCAGCGCTAGAGGCGAGCAGAAACCAACCCACAAAGTATGCCACACAACTCGCATCGAAAACCTCTTCCCCAACAACCTCAAATGTCAAATCCCCACACTCCAAGAACCCCAAAGGGACACATATCCCCTGAAACCACCTAGTGAGAAAGCCGTCTCACCCAACAATATGCCCGGCTCCAGTCCTCTCCATGTGCTCTCTCCCTTGGCATCGGAGATACTGCTCTCTCTTGGTTCTTCATCCTACCTATCCCGACGCTCCTTCAGTGTCACCTACAATGGTGCCACCTCCCCCTCCCTCCCCCTCTCTGTTGGGGTCCCCCAAGGCTCTGTCCTTGGACCCCTTCTCTTCTCCATCTACACCTCCTCCCTGGGCAAACTCATACAATCTCACGGCTTCAACTATCACCTCTATGCTGACGACACCCAAATCTACCTATCCACCCCTCACCTCACCCCCACTATCTCCGCCCGCATCACTCACCTCCTAAATGACATCTCAGACTGGATGTCGCTACATTTCCTCAAGCTCAACCTCTCCAAAACCGAGCTCCTCATCTTTCCCCCTGCCAACACCCCCCCCCCCCCCATCCTATCCATCATCACCAACAACTCCACTATCACTCCCCGCCCCGCAAGCCAAAGTCCTTGGCGTCATTCTTGACGCAAACCTCTCCCTCCAACCACATGTCAAATCACTCACAAACACATGCAGGCTCCATCTTCGCAACATTGCCAAGATACGCTCCTTCCTCACCCCAGACACCACCAAACTTCTAGTACACTCCCTCATCATCTCACGCCTTGACTACTGCAAACTCCCCATCCTGAACTCACTGGCCTACCCAAGTGCACCCCCCTCTGCCTCTCCCTCCCGCTCCAGACCAACGCCTGAACTCAGCTGCCCCCAGACTCATCCACCTCACTGGCCTACCCCACCCAGCTGAACCAGCTGCCACCTCTCACCACCCCCCACCTCTGCCTCTCCCTCCACTGGCTCCCGATTGCCCAACGCATCAAATTTAAACTCCTAACCCTGACCTACAAAGCCGTTCACAACACTGCCCCTGACTACCTCACCAACCTGATCACCAAGTACCACCCTACCCGTACCCTTCGCTCCTCACAGGACCTCCTTCTATCCTGCTCCCTGGTCTCCTCCTCCCATGCACGACTGCAGGACTTCTCCAGGTCCTCCCCCATCCTCTGGAACTCACTGCCCCAATCCATCAGACTGTCGCCTTCCCTATTCACATTCAGGCGCTCCCTCAAAACCCATCTCTTCAGGGAAGCCTACCCCACCCTCACCTAACGGCCATCCTCCCTCATTCCTCCCACCACTTCATCCCCCTCAGCCACTTCCTACTGTACCTTTACCCCCTCCCTCCTAGATTGTAAGCTCGTAAGAGTAGGGCCCTCTTACCCCTTCGTACGTTGTTTGTTGTTGTTGTACTGTGCCATGTATTGTCCCCCCTATTGTACAGCGCTGAGCAAACCCTTTGGCGCTATATAAACTCGTAGTAATAATAATAATAATGTGCAAATTCAAGATCTTCCATCTTCATTGTCAAAACATAAAGCCCTGTTAGTCAAAAAAAACCTGGCTCCTAACTTTTTTAGCTGGCTCCTAGATTTAAAACATATTTTTCAAGCCCTTCCTAAGGCTACATTCACATACAAAGTTTCACATTTTCAAGTGTTTTTTTCAAGCCTTTTTTTGGAGCAGAATTGCACATTTTTGAAGCTTTGTCAGACATGTTTTAGGCATTTTTAAACTATGCATTTGGAGTGCACGGGAGGAGAGCTACTCTTTGAGCAGAAATGCATGACAAAACACTTGAAAAACACTCAGAAATGCTCAGGTTGAGTTTTAAAGGCGTTTCCATTGAAGTCTATGGGGACAAAAAAAAGCTAAATTCTGCCTGAAAAGTAGCTTGTGTACTTTTTTGCTACACGCAACAGAACGCTCAGATGTGAACAAGGGCTACTGAAAACAAGTTTTTTTTCCTTGTTGAGTGTTTTTGAGCTCTGAGCTAAAAAGCACTCAAGTGTGATTGGGGCAGAAGTCTATTACTTGCCATATCACAAGGAAAAAATAAATGGAAAAAGCCTAAAAAGAAAATTAATGCAGCCAGAACATTTAAAGTGGAACCTCACCCTCCCACTCAACACTGGGTATTTGTAAGTCTTCGGCTGCTAGCATTAGTAATTAGATAGGAGAGTATATCATATTGGCTTAAACTTTTTTCGATCCCATCTGTAAAACAGAGGTTTCTCAACCATAACTAATTTCATAGAGGACCATGCCTCAGATCCTATTCCCCCCAAGTCTGCACTACCTCTATGGGATCTATCTACTGGACTCCCTAACCTTGGGTCTACAGGCACCTTTTATAGAAGATGGACACTTGGAGACTGAGAAAAACCTTCTCTTTGGTAAAGGCCCCTGCTAGATGGCCTCAAAACCAAATCTGCTGGGTAGGTAACCAAAACCAGGTCTGCTGGGTAGGTAACCAAGTTGTATTGCTTATCTATAAAACAGAAAGGGGAGGCCACCAACCTGATTATACAACGTGCCAGTGATGTTTAAATCACAAAAATAGGTTAAAAGAATTTCAAACCTTTAGACTCTATTCACATATATGCAAATTGCTGAGTTTTTAACTGCATCCGATTCGTACGACATGTGAACCAAAATCCTTTTCTATGGAGCCGGTTCACATATGTGCAGGCCGGCTGCAGTTCAATTTAGAAAACAGTCCGGTACGATTTTCAGTCTGGTTCAGGTGCAATTTCCAATGGCATACTCTAACAATTCGTATTGGAT